GGCAGTATGTGTGCTCACTTTGCTGGGGGAAGTGGATGAGGTTATATAGCGAGAGTTTTATGTAAACTCTAGCGTCTAGTGCACTTTGTGCGGAAGAGGCGACCTATTGAGTCGGGCTGACTTGGGTTGGAGTTCAGCTCTGCTCCTTTCTGGAGGTGTGGCTTTGGGGAAATAGAGCTCTTCTCTCAGCCCCCGGCTCCTTATCTGCTAAGTGTGAATACTAAGCGTATTTACTACTCAAAGGCTTGTTTGAGAAATCAAATAAGGACCAGATGAGATAACAGAAGCCTCTGGCATACAGTAGGTGCCCAGCAAATGTTGCTTCCTCAAACACACATGCACTCACATAGCCCTTAGTGCCGTCAGAGTAATAAAGTGTTCTCAGTTTGGAGGAGAAGACAGGCAGCCAATGAGCTCTCTCTCTCTAGTTTCCATTCTAAGAAAGGAACTCACTGGCTGGAGTCCAGGATAGTCACTAGTGTGGAGAATAGGAACCAATGCCAGCCTCCCACATGGAGTTTCCAAAAAGTGTGAGCATAGTGTTGCATAACCTGGCCAGGACATGTCTTCAGGGAACTTCCACAAACTATTCCCCAAAAGGAATAGAGCTGTGGAGCAACCTCAGGAGGGAGGAGGGGAGCTGAGGTGTGTGGGTGAGACTGGACGGGGAAGCTGCTGGCCCTGCTGGCCCTGGCCGGTAATCTGAGCTATGGCAGAGGCTGAGACAGGAGGATCACATGTTCGAAGGCTGTCAGGAATACAAAAAGAGTGCAGAGCCAGCCTAGGCAACTTAGCAAGACTCTGCCTTAAGATAAAAAGTGAAAATAGGACCAAGGAGACAACTCAAGGGTAGAGCATTCACCAGGCATGGGCAAGGCCCTAGGTCCAGTCCCCAGTGCTAAAAGATGGACAGACGGAGAGGGAATCTACTATGTCCTAGACTCTAGGTTTGTTCTGTCTGAGACTTACTATAGTAAGATCCTTGTCTCAATTCTGGGAGCTTAGGTATTTCCACTCCCACATTCCAAAGGAAGAAATAACAGCAGTAATTAATACTGCCAACATTTACACAACACTGACTGTTTATCAAGCTAAGCACACATTTGATACTCAGTCCAACCCATGATAGGGGTGCTACTGTGATCCCTGTGTTATGGAAGAGAAAACCAAAAGGAAGGTGTCGGGGGGTGGGGGGATGGTATGAAGTAAGTTCTCCAAGGTTACCCAACAAGGCAGTGGTGGAGCCAGGATTTGACTAAACAATCCCATGGGACCCGAGTGACTTCCCAGGGTGGCTCAGAAGGTGACCCTGGTACTGGGTGTCCTTAGATGCTGATAGTTAGGCCCCCGTGTGGGCCTGATGTAAGTGACCAAGTGATCAGAGGACAGTTTGTCCCAGCTTGTGGCCGCTCGCCACCACCTCTGCTTCTGACCCAAAGTTTGAATTTCATTCATAAGTTTGTAACCACAGACTTGGCAACGTGGGAAGGCCCCGTGGGGACCAGCTATTCTAGTCCAACTCCCTCACATTACAAATGGAAAAAACCCTACAGTTCAGCAAGGGCTGCAGACACATCAAGGTCACAGAGAGATTTTCTGTTGGATAGAGGAGTTGGTTTTGGGGTCAACTACAGAGCATCTTCTGTGGTTGCCAGATATGTAGCTCCGATACACTCTTTTAAAACCATTGTTGTTGTTGAGAAAAGGTGTCTCTATATATCCAAGCTTTGTAGAACTCATAATCCTATCTCTGCCTCTAGACTCCTGAGTGTAGGAAACACGCGTGTGTCAGTATGCATGGGATTAGCTTTAAGGGTATAGATTTTGACAGGAAGTGTAGTCAAGCCCAGTGTTTATGTAATGTGAGGCCCTGGATTTGATCTTTAGCATTGAAAACACACACACACAGAGAACACACATACAACACACACAGCACACACACATAACACACATACAAACACACACACACTTGTGGGACTGGAAACAACCCATAAGTCAGTACTCTTCTCTCACCATGTGGGTCCCAGGAAGTGAACTCAGGTCTTTGGGGTCGGCAGCAAGTGCCTCAGCCTGCTGAGCCATCTCACCAGCCCCAAGAGACTGAGCTCTCCCTTCATAGAGGAATCCAAATACGCCCTGTTTCTCAAGGGGCTCAGATGTCACCCCACATTGTATTTGGAAGTTAGAATCCAATGCCTGGCATTTCCTTTATAGTTAGGAATATTAGGGCCCACGAAGGGACTTGCCCGAGGTCATACAGCAAGTCAATGACATTTCCTAGACCCTTTGAACGAATATAAGAAATAGGCTAAGGAGGCCGTCAGAATCCCCTTGGAGCTTAGTTTCCTTGTGGGAGCCAGGTTAAGACGCAGGGTCATGGCCATTTCCCAGACTCAGCAAGGTAAGAACCCAAAAGGTGAACCTTCAAAGGGAAAAGGAAACAACAGGGCAGGTGAGGATGTGGCCAGCCAGCGGGGCTTTCCCAGATGCAAGCTCTCCTCTGCAGGAATGACATCATATGCTACCCATCTATACCATCCTAAAGCCACGTGTGAGTCCTATTTCAGGATGACAGGCAACACTTTTCCCATGGGGGACGAGATAGGGTGAACTGAACCCAGCTGTGACGTGCTGGTGAGAACTAAGACAAACCTCTCCATGCTGTGCTTTTTCTAGACTTTCCCTCTCTCCTTTCCCTGATCCCTCATCCCAAGGCTGAATGAAGGGATTTACTGCTCTTTTCCCTTTTCCTACAGGGCCACCTTCTCTTTCCTCCCTTCTTTCTCCTATCATCTGGAAAGGAGTTTTGTTCTTGCAGTCAGATATTTTTTTATTTCAGCCTGTCTCTCCCTCCCGTTCCCTCTCCCTTTCCCCCTCCTTCTTTTCCTCCCTTCCCTCCTTTGGTCTCTCTCTTTCTCTCATTTTCTTTGTTCATTTTGTTTTTCAAGACAGGCTTTCTCTGTGTAGTCCTGGCTGTCCTGGAACTCGTTCTTTAAACCAGGCTGGCCTCGAACTCAGAGATCTGTCTACCTCTGCCTCCCAGGTGCTGAAATTAAAGGTGTGCACCCCCACCACTTGGCCAGCCTCAGTTTCTTTACAACAGTCTTGGGCTTTGAGACTTACATAGTTCATGTATGTACTTGACAGTCTCACAGACACTGAGTCCTGTGAGTCAGTGGACTAGAGGAGTCTGAACACTTGTGCTGAACTGAATTGAGGTGCCTGAAAGATGGTTGAGCTGAGAAGTACCTCAACAATCCTCGGGCCAGAGTCCAAGTGAATTATTTACAGTCCCCAGATGATAAGAGAAATCTCATACCCTGTTTCTTTACTTTTGTCTGGAGTTCTATCAATTCAAAGTGATCACTTAGCCACCACTTGCTCTTCAGAAAGTCTGACTAACAGATACATGGGGCTTTCATGAACTGTTTATTTGGGAAAATAATTAGTGTAGTGCAAATTAGATGTTGGAAAATGTTCTTCTAGTCCAGCCCCGTTTCATAAACAGGGAAGCTTAAGTTTAAAGACGGGAGTTGTTCTGTGGTCACACTGCTAGCAGGCGGCAGAGCCAGCCCGAAGCCCACAGTCTCTTCCTAGAACCACTCACTTCCCTTCCTTGTGCTCTTCTGAGGAGTTGGGCAACTTGGGTCTTTGGGAACAGAAATCAGATGAGTCATGAGTTTGCCTTTGCCCTTTCTCCGTTCTTGATTCATTCAACAAATATTTACTGACTGCCCACTACTGGGCCTCAGGGAAGGCAGAGATAAAAAATGAATGTGGAGGCAGGCAAGGTCGTGGTGTGAGTCTAGCTGTGATCGAAGAGGCTGTGTTTTCTTTCCATTGGATGCTCACCTCAACACCCACTTCCCTGCTAGCTAATGTAACCCTGTCTGAGTGTAGGGCAATGTCTCAGGTGTCCGAACCTTCCCAGCCTCCAATAGATACAAACCCAGCACTGCACTCTCTGGAAACGCCTGAATTATGACTGTTTGGCTGAGTGTATCACACACACCTTTAATTCCAGCACTAAGGAGGCAGAGACAGGTGGATCTCTGTTAGTTTTGAGGCCATTCTGGTCTACAAAGCAAGTTCCAGGACAGCCAGGGTAGTTACACAGAGAAAGAAACCTTGTCTCAAACAGAACAAAACAAAACCAAAAAAAAAAAGCACTCAAAAACAAATTTAAAAGCCTGTTTTGTTATTAACTTTATTTAATTAACTAATTTATTTATTTTAGTTTCTTTGACTCTGTTGTTTCTCTATGTAGCTTTGGCTGTCTGGGAACTCATCTCTAGACCTGGCTGGCCTTGATCTGTCTGCCTGAATGCTGGGACTAAAGGTACCACCATTGTCAGGCTAACTTTATGTCTTTAGACAGCATGTTGCCTCCCTTTTCCAGGCGTGGGTTTAAACCACTGTATAATGGGAGCAGTGGACAAAAGAAAATATGTGTAAGAAGCCTGAAAGTTCTAGGTTAACTAAGAAAAAAACACACTTAAGAATCTAAGATGAAAATGGTCAATGTTTACATTTAATTTTCCTCTTCAGAGGGAAAGTCAGGCCCGTCTCTGTGAATTCCATGTGGTCTTGGCATATAGCAAGTTCCAGACCAGCCAGGGCTACATAGTGAGACTCTGTGTCAAAAATGCTAAATTTATTATTGTATTTATGTAAGTGCGATAATCAGATGACAGCTTACAGTTCTCTTCTTTCAACTTGTGAGTTCCAGATATTGAACGCTGATCGTCAGGCGCTTGGCGCAAGCCCTTCAACCCGATGAACCATCTTGCAATCCCCCAAATAGTGAATTTTTTATTTTATTTTATTCGTTTCTCTTCCCTCCTAGAAATGAACCTTTTGGTTTTAAAAACTCCCCCTCTAGAGGGCGCGCAAGATCCGTGGCTTTGTGCCTCACTTCCGTTTGCCTTCATCGTTTCTCCTGCGCATGTGCACAGTTTATTTCCGGGCTGCTCACGGGGGCCCTTTGGTGTGTCGGGGCGCATGCACTGCGCCTGCGTGATATCGGCAGGCCTTCTCGGCCGCCGTCCCCGGAAACACTTCCTTCCCACGCAGCCGCGGGCCGCAAGCTATTCGGCCTCTCTAGGCCGGCTGGTCCTCTGCTCCATGGTCCTGGCTGTCGGCGCAGTTTCGGGAGTGCACGGCTGAGGCCCGGCCGCGCCGCGCGGAGCTTCGATCCTCGAGCCGGTCGCGGGTGAGTGAACCCGGGAGGAGCCCGGCGGCCGGAACGGGCAGGGTTTCCTCTGATGCCGTGAGTGGGTCCGCCCGCCCCGCCTCCCTCTACCCCCTGGAATGGGCTCGCTCCTGGGTCCCAGGCCCTCCTCCCTCCCGCGGCGTTGCCAAGGCGACGGCCAGCCGGCTGAAGCTCCGTGTGTATCCCCGCAGGTAGTTCGGCGGCCGCGGACCGATGGCGTGGCATCGGTGACAGGCGCGAGCGGCTGCCGAGCCCCGAGGGCCGGCATGGCGGGCCAGTTCCGCAGCTACGTGTGGGACCCGTTGCTGATCCTGTCGCAAATCGTGCTCATGCAGACGGTCTACTATGGATCGCTGGGCCTGTGGCTGGCGCTGGTGGATGCGCTCGTGCGCAGCAGCCCTTCCCTAGACCAGATGTTCGACGCAGAGGTAGGCTGGGCGGGATGGAATAGGGTATTGTGGCCCGGCACCGCTGAACTCTAGCTCCAGCTGGGCCACGTTCTCATTCTGTGATCCTAAAAAAAACAAGGAATTCTATTGCACAGGAGCACACACGCCCCGCCTTCCCCCCCCCCCCCCCCCCCCCCGCACCCAAATGCAAAATGGAATGATTGAAGACCGGGAGTCAGATGAGTGCACTCTCAGACGTGTCCAGTACTCAGATAATGGGAAACGACGTATTCATCTACAAAGTTCCCATCCAGGAACTGCGCATTCGAGTATAGGGCGCTAAGTAACTTCACAGTTTTGTGTTGTCTGCACTCAAAGCTAGTTCGCAGCAGCATATGAGTGGTTGACATGTGAGGTTGGACACACATGGCAGATACTACAATCACAGGCTTGTGTCCCAGGCAAATGAGATTAAGTCTTTTTTCCTGAGACCCTCCAGAAAAGTGACTTACCTTCTCTCAGCTTAGATTCTCAAGGGGCCGCAGTGGGAGGAGGAGTAGATAAAGGGTCATCGTATGATGCAGTAGGAACTGTTAAGACTGGGTCAGACAGGCCTGTCTTTAAATTCCACTGTTTGCTGTGTGACTTGGAGTAAATGTTTCCTCTTCTGTTTGCAGTATCATGCTATTTGCATTAGTTAGTAAACCTTTCCAAGGCCTTTCCTTCTGTGGAGAGTGAGCAGAATAATCCTGTCATGTCATGCACAGTGAAATGTTAAAAGGCCCAGAGGGGCCTAGGAATAAGGTGTCATAAGATACGGTTGAAGCGTGTGGTTGTTAGAGAGGAAAGGCAGCTGTGATAGCTGGCAGGTAATGAGCAAAGTTCTTGGTCTAGCTGACCTGAGATGGAGTCCTTGCTTTTGCTACTATTCTTTGCATTAGCCTTTGGGTAACTATGTGGAAAGATATGGTTATAGTGTTGTGAGATCATGGGTTGGTCAAAGGCCTTTGCAAACTGAAGTGTGGTACAGATGTTTAGTACTCTGTCGACAATTATAGAGTAAATATTGCAACTTCTCTAAACTCTTTCATCTTTTGTAAAAGAGTGGTACCTCCCCATCTACTCAGATGATGTTCAACTGGAGAGGTTCCTCTATGGAGAGGATGCTTGTGGAGGGACCATGCTGTCCCTGTACCCAGGGAGAAAGCTTGTGCCGTGGGCTCTTTGCTAGGATCCTGGTGCCTGGGGCCCTGTGAAGTCACTTCTTCAGCATATTTCCCTTTGTAATTTTTCCCTCAGATCCTGGGCTTTTCCACTCCTCCAGGCCGGCTCTCAATGATGTCCTTCGTCCTCAACGCCCTCACCTGGTGAGTATCACCAGCTCTACTACTCATCTTTTGGGGTCTGATTGGAACTGACTTTCCAAATTTAAACATGAGGCAGGCTGGCGCTCCTTGGGAGTGGTGAGATGGGTGGATGAGCCTAATGGGTGGACTGGCCCTGTCATGGACCCCCATGAAAGCTCATCTCTCACCATGCGTGTGTGTGCGTGTGTGCTGCCGCCTGATGGCATGCTCTAATGTGGAATGAGGTGGGGGAAGAATTAGACCAGGAGCCTGGAGAATCGGCTTATTACATTCTTGTTCTGTGCCATTGACTGACTTATTTTCTTCCTTTCTAGGCTTCAGTCTCCTTGTGTATATACTAGGGGTTGGACTAGTTACCATCTAAGGTCATTCGTGACCATTGCCCATCTTTTGAGGATCAGTTTAGCATAGAAACCAAAGTCTGAGGCTTAAAAGCAGACTCACCTGGCTTTGAATCTTCCACGACCTTACCACCAGTGTGGTGACTTTGGACAGTTTCTTTCTAGTTTGCTTATCAGTAAAGTGGGGCCAATACAATCACTTACTTCATAGTTGTAAAGTGTTATGTTAATTCATAGGAAGTACTTCAAACAATGCCTTGTATGTTGTATTATGATTTTACACTGACGATGGGAAAATGTACAGGTGTCTGGCTTCTCTTGAATAGTGGGAAAATGGATTGATTCCATGCTATGATAAGATTCACCTAGATGCAAGTAGCTTTCTGTCTGCATTTTTATAGAATCTATTTCCCGATACTCACCAGTCTGTACCATTCCTGGTTGGCTGTTTGTCATCAAACTTATGCACCCCCCTCCCCAGCTGTGTCAAATCCACTCTTGACGTTCCCCGTTCTAGGCATCTGCCATGATAACCCTTGCTTCTCACTTACCTTGCTCACCTCTGACCACCGTGCTGTCATCCTGCCTTGTCCCTCCTTCCCCAAGAATCTAATGTAAGGCCAGGGCAACCCAGTGACAACCGCTGCTGTCCTCTCCCCACAGTGCCCTGGGCTTGCTGTACTTCATCCGGCGAGGGAAGCAGTGTCTGGATTTCACTGTCACTGTCCATTTCTTTCACCTTCTGGGCTGCTGGCTCTACAGCTCCCGTTTCCCCTCGGCGCTGACCTGGTGGCTGGTTCAAGCTGTGTGCATTGCACTCATGGCCGTCATTGGCGAGTACCTGTGCATGCGGACGGAGCTCAAGGAGATCCCCCTCAGCTCAGCCCCTAAATCCAATGTCTAAAGTTGGGCCCTTTGGACACTGCTGGCACTTGGGCCGCCTGTCACCTTGGGCTGCTCACACCTCTAGGTGGGGTCTAGTCCAAGTCTGAGAGGAACCCTGGAAATGTGAAGTCTGTTGGTGGAGGGATAGTGAGGTCCCGTCACAAAGTTAGGTAGCAGTCATGATCACAGCTGCAAGAATGGCTTCTGCCTGCTCAAGCCTTGATATGTGGAGGCCATTGTGGGGACTTCATTGATTTGGAAATAACAGATTTGGAACCATGTCTCTATTGAGCCATCATTCTGTCACCAGCCTGTTACTTAAAAAAAAAAAATCAAGGATATCTGATTGGAGCAAACCACTCTTCTGCTCATCTGTCTACCCCCTGGGACAGCTGGTACTTTCGCCATGTTACCAAACCACAGTGACTCTGTGTGAAGAAACATTTTGATTTCTGGGTCCACAGCCACAGAAAGAGATGTAGGTACAAAGTACTAGGCTGCTGACAGAGGACAACAGATGGAGGAAGCATCAAGCACAAGAAAAATGCATAGCCTGTGTCCGTTAGACACACCCGTGTGTTCTTTGTGCATTCAAGAACCCATGCCTGACTTCCTCCAGTTCCTTGTATGGACCCTATCTTGCTGCCATCTCTCAATACAGCAGGCCACAGGACCCAGAGAAGATCCCAGCATCCCTCCCGGCCTTAGCTTCATAATAAAAGCCACTGTCTGCTCTCTAGGAATGACCAGGCATCCAGCTCCCACTGGATTGTGGCACTGAGTTTTTGTTTCCTGTTTCATTTGAATTCTGTGGTAGTGGAGGGCGTACTGATGGCGCTGGGGGAAATAGGAGTTTGCTGCTAAGGCTAGAGTTTTCTCTAGAGCGCTTTCCTCTGTGAGGGGCTGGCGGCTGTCCTTCGTAGGAAGACAAATACAGTATTTTCCACAGTTCTGCCTCTGCTTGCTTTTGATGTTGTTGGGACACCAAGAGAGGTCAGCTATGGACAAGAGCTATAAATAATTTGTGTTCCTCCTTTCCTGGTCCTCATAGTTATTTCTCCATTCAGGTAAAATACTAAATGCCAGGGTAAGTGTGATAGCACCTGCTTGCCCTAACACTTGGAAGGCTGAGGCGGGAGGATCATAAGTTTGAGGCCAACCTGGGCAACATGACAAATTCGGGGGCTATATAGTGAACCCATCTCAAAAACTGAGCAAAATACATTCTGCCTTCCACCTGCAACTGCCTCCACAATGCCTGGGGAAAACTGCCATCTCCCCCCTTTGTGATTTCCTGAATATGTACGGTGGCATATACTTGTGAATTGGGCAGTGTTTCTTTGATTTCTGGAGCTTGCCCAAGATGGCTGAGTATCACAGCTACAGACATGTTTTTCTTCCTGCCTCTTGGCTCTCAGCCTTGTAGAATAGGGGGTCCTGAGCTGGCAGAATGAAAATCTGAGAATGAAAATGTTTGGGCAAAGGCTAGGCATGAGCTAGAGTGAGGCCCCTTGGTAACTCAGGGTTCTGGCTTCAGAGCCTGGGCCCAGCTGGATTGGTGGGTTTCCTCCTAGACTCGAGCGCTTCAGTCATGACTACAATGGAGGGATTAGGAAATTCAGTGTGGCTGTTGTCTCACTTAAGCCGTGCAGTCTGTTGCTCCAGGCAAGAATATATCTTCGTGTTTTCTTTTACTGTTTGTGCCTGCTTTTCCTGCATAGTTTTCTTTGGTGAGAAACCTGCATTCTTTGATGTTTTTATTTTTGGAAATTGCAAAATCAAAGGAATCAAGGTGATTTTTATTTTTTCCAAGACAGCTTCTCTGTGTAGCCTTGGCTGTCCTGGACTCAATTTGTAGACCAGGCTGGCCTCATACTCACAGAGATCTGCCTGCCTCTGCCTCCTCAAGTGCTGGGATTACACTTGGGAAGTACCATGGGTGTACACTTTGGGATTATAGTACCACTATGCCTGGCTGGTGATTTTTGTGTGTGTGTTTCCTTTTACCCCAGCAATGTAATGACCGAGCTGATTGACAGTTGACTAAAAATTATATAACCTTCCCCAGAGGGTATGGACACAGGTATTATCTCCATAGCTGGCAGGCCACACTGCCTCGATGAAAGAACAAGTTTCCAGTTCAGTGAGATGTCCTGTCTCAGCGCAGTGATGCAGAGAGTGATAGGAAAAAGCACTGGAATCTCCTGTTCTAGGCTGTCGAGTTTGCACACCCACACGTTCACCCTCCATACTCCCCACATGTGTAATCACATTTTGTGACTTTCCGGTGTGTACAGTTTCTGAAGCAGCAATGGGAATGGTTTGTAGAGGTGAGACAGTCTTCAGCAGCAGTGAAATTTATCATTTCAATAGCAAACGCATCTATTGAGTGCTTACCAGGTGTCTGTCTAGCAGTAGGCCAGGGACTTGTCTCTTCTCATGTGACAACCTCATTAGGAAGGCCCATCGTCCATCTCTTACAGATGAGAAAACTGGAACTTGTCAGCCTCAAAGTTTGGGCTCTGGAGATAGCACTGAGCTCATGCAGCAGAGGTCATTAATTAGGATGTGTAAATTCTGATTTGTTCATCAATTTATAACCTTCTAGTCATGCCTTCAAATCTCACTGTATTTTTCTAAATTAGGTTGAATAGAGCTTTACAAACAAACTAGCTAGTCAAGAAAAATGGATGGGCAGAATACAAGGACCACAGGTTAACGCGTGACATGGGAATGAAGGCTTGAGTGTTTACCTCCAGAGGATGAAGGCTGCAGTCTACATTAAAAGCCTACTTCCAGCTTCTGAGGAAGTGAACACACATGTCTTTCTGGAGACCTGAAGTTTTGCTTCTGTCTCTCCCTTCACTCTAGCTAACACCTGAATTCCAGCCACTTGAAATGTAGAGACTTACGTAATTGCCTCTCTAAAACAGTTTATAACCCCAAAAGATAAGCGAGACACCTCTTAACTCCTCATTATAGGCAGCCCCATGTTGATGAAGTACATGGAAGCCAGACATCTTGGAGGGAAGGGATTTGAGAGAATGCCACAGGCCCTCCTAAATCCTGAAGGGTTCATAATTCAAAAGGCCATCTTGGAAGCTGAGTTTCTGGGATTCTCCTCTGTGGCTCCAGGGTGACTTTTTATGACCAAAGGGCAGTCAGATTAGAAGTCACATCTTGTAGGAAAGTGACAAAGACTAATGGGAACAGTATTGGGGCAGGAAAGAGTAATGGAAGCTGAGTCATCCTGGCACTCCCTGCTCACTGGGAATGGTGGCAGGCTGCAGGACTAGAAAGCTGCAGTGGCGCACAGGAGCATTGCTGAGGTTGATTGAGGCCTGCCTGGCTGGAGTGCAGTTACTTCCTTCACTCTCCAACCCTCGCCCCTGAAAAAGATAGAGGTGTAGTGTTTCCATAGAACTCTATGCATTCTCGTGCTTCAGATGGTACAGTGTCAGGGTGGAGTGGAGGGTATATAGTATTGCTCAGGGAACAAGAAAAGTCTGTGTGCATTCAGTATGGATGGACATCTTTATTGAGTATTCTCCATTTACAGGTGCTTGAATCTGAGGACACAGAATGTATGCATGTAGAGAACTCAGGGCTGTGGAGGCACACTGGACTCATTCCTTTGGATAATTGTGAGAATTTCCTGAGCTATCACATGTACCACAGTATCTGGAAAGCTGGAAGTGACCCGTGATTCTAAATGTTACCAGGCTTTCTCCCACTTCCCACTTCACAGAAGAGGAGACTGCTTTCTCCCGACAGCTGCACCCTGCAAAATGGTTAATGTATATTCTCACTTAATCCATTCGGTTTGTAGGGAGTTAACAGTTTGGCTCGACACCACACACCTCACTTCCTGGACTTGATCCAGATAATTGGGATGTCTCAGGAAACTGACAGGTAGTTCCCTGTTTGCAGGCAGTTAGAAAATCAAGCAGAACCAAGCCTGAGATGTTACGGCACAGAATGGTGAAGGAATTTTAGGGAAAAGCTAAAATCCTTCAGCACCCCACAGACTGACTTCCTGCTTAGGCCTTGTTCACTTCAAGCCATCTAAATGGGTCCCCTCGCGCCCCCCCCCCCACCTTTTTTTGAGACAAAGCCTCACTGTGTGGCCTTGAAAATTGCTATATAGATCAGGGTGGCCCTGGATTCATGGAGCTATATCTGTCTGTTTCTCAGATGCTGGGATTAAAGGTGTCCCACCACTCCCAGCTAGCATCCCTTAAAAAACAGACTAACAAAAACAATTGAAATAGTGAGCTGTGGTGGCACACACCTTCAACCCCAGCATTTTGGAGGCAGAGGCAGGCAAATCTGAGTTCAAGGCCAGCCTGGAGTACAGAGCCATTTCAACTCTAGCAAAGTATTACAGTGAAACCCTATCTCAAAAAAAAAAAAAAAAAAAAAAAGCTGGGGTCTGCCTCATTGTGGCAGTAGAGTGGTAGAATGTTTGGCTGTCATGTACAGTGCTCTGGATTTGATCCCCTGCACCCAGCAAAAAAAGGCAGGGGGAAAAAGAGGAGGTCCCGTGACTTCAGTCATCAGTGATGTGAGTTCAGTTTGATCAAATGGACACACCTCCAGTGTGTATGTGCTACACTGTTAGCCATTTCTGGGATGTTCTTCCTTCAAATAATGGATCTTACCAAACCCAGAAGGAGCTCAGAAATAAGTGGTTAAATACAGGAAAGCAGGCAGTGGGACATAAGCTCTCCTAAATGTCAAGAGCTTGAGGATGAGGCTGGGAGAAGTTCTGTTGCAAGGCACTCGTGTCCTTCACCCGTGCTCTCCTTCCCTCAGCCTTTGCACAAGGCCTCAGCCTAACTTCTCTCTCTGGGCTCAGAGTGCAAGCTGCCAGCCTTGACCAGGCCTTCTCCATTAGTGCCTGTATGTGAATCCCTCTCTGAACAGGATGCCAGGAAGCTGGCTGCCCTGGCCACGATGACGATCTGAGGTCACAGGTTGATAAACAGGAGGTTAGAAAGAATACTGTGTAAATAATTATTTAAATAAATCTTAAAGAAAAGAAAGGGAGATTGAATTAAGGTTATTTACCAAGGTTGATGGGACCCAGATGGAGATCACTGAGCAGGAAAACAGCTGGAAGAGGAGGTTGCTGGGAAAGGGCAGGGCTGGTGATAGAAGGGCCACGTAGAGTGCTCAGATGCCCCTGGGATCTCCCACAGGAAGAAGCAGTGTAGTGGGACACTCCTGGTGTCAAGTTTGGCTCTGGCTGGTCCATGATCTGAGGCTGCCCCTCTGATATGGCAGTGCCAGGCACAGTAGGGAGGGGCAGGATGAGGGAAAGGTGCAACTGCCCTTCCATTACACCCTCTCCCAAATGAGATTTTTTTTTTTTTTTTGTATTCTTAAAAAAAAAAATTAGTATGTATACAGTGTTCTGCCTTCACATACACCTGCAGGCCAAAAGGAGCCACCAGATCTTGTTATAGATGGTTGTGAGCCACCATGAGGTTGCTGGAAATTGAACTCAGGACCTCTGGAAGAACAATGAGATCTTTTCAGTAGTACCCACCTCTACAGAAGGGCCCTGTGGCCCAGCTCTTCAGTGGCTCAGAGTCTAGGTACCTCACTTGAGGGCACACCCATTGCAGCTAGCATCAGGGGACTCTAAGAAAGATTATACTCTTTGTCCTAAGAAAACCTGGGTTCCCTTGACCCATCTCCCCAACTGTGTGTGCAAGGCCCTCTGGCTCTTACTGTCAGATGGTGATCCAGGTGGTGATCCAGAGAAAGTCTGCCAGGGCTCAGGCTTGAGAGTGAACATGCTGTTAGCCCTCAGCTGTGGGACACGGCACCAACGCCCCACCTGTCCTGAGGTTTTCCACCCTGTGTGACCCAGGAGGCCCAATTCTTGACACCACATGCACATAATCAGTGGTGAGCCGAATGGAATAGAGAGCAGCCAGGAGACTGAGGGTAGGTTTTGCTCCGGTGGCTCCTCTCTGAACAAGCCCGATGAGTCACCTGCTGTGTAGGCATACAAGTCTGCCTCTCCTTGGATGGCAGGGCCATTGTGAGGCATCTGCTCCCAGTGGTCTCTGACTTCATAGAGGAAGTGTGTGCTGCCCAAAGGAACCATCTTGTCGGGGAGTTAGGGGAAACTGAAGGGTACAACTTGGTAGATTTTCTCTTCTGGTTTTAGGATATGACCTTAGCCTAGGGGGACCAGGGCAGCAGAAACTCCTTACATAAACTCCCTCCATACTCCCTCCCCCCCCACACACCCGCCCAGCCCAAGACCCCTTTTCTCCTTATTTATGTGGTTGCCAGCCTCAAGACAGGCAGAGCCAGTGGTACCTTATGGGAGCTTTTATTTGTAGACTCGCGAATTTCCCGCCTATCCCTCCCATTAAGCAGATTGCAGGCTCTCTACTACTCTTCTTATACTTGAGGTTCCTTCCCATCCACGGTTCCACCACCTGCGAGCAGAGTTAGGTGAGTCATGAAAATCGCCCCTAGAGGGCACTGCTGTTCAGTGAGTGGGCAAAAGGCGGGGAGCTTCGGATTTTTCGTGGCAAGTTGGAGCTATCTGGTTTTCCCAAAGGGAAATCGTTTAACATGGACTTCAGAATTCAGTCACCCTCTTCCTTTCATGGGGACCGCCACCCATGAAGGGGAGAGTTTCTTGTTATCTTTGCTTTAAGAACTTTCTTTTTAGCAGAAGTCTTGTTTAAAATGTGAACAAATCAAATAGAGTTGATTTGGTTTAACGGGAGGAGATGCAGCAAAGCCCAGAGTGGCAATTTCTCTTCTCCCTTAAACATCAACTGAGATCCAGAGACACAGTGGGTCCCACTCTCTTGAGGCCTCCAGACAACGAGCTAACACATATTTGCTCTGACACTCCCATTGCACCTGCCCTGCAGTTTAGAATCCCAACCTAGATGCACCCTCAGCCCAGCTAGTAGCCTGTTGTGTGGCCTGGTCAATAGCTCCCCCTCTCTCAGTATGGAGCCTCCCAGTATGGGCGGCCACAGCCATCAAGACCCACAGTCCCGAGTCTAGGGCTCAGCCGCAGGCCTGGCTGAGCAGCTGCATCTCACCCCTGCAGAACGGCAGCACTGTCTCACCCACCTTGTGGACGGTGTACAGGCAGCTCAAAGCGACGCACAGCAGAAGCGGGTGCAGGCGCGCTTGATATAGCGCAGGGTAGACAATCTGCACATGATCCGGGGCCCCGGGAGGTGGACGCGAGTGGGAAGCCCCTCAAACCACACCAACTGGTCAGTTGTATCCAGTGGCTTCATGTCCCCCGGGGATGTTCTGTGGTGGTAGGCCTTCAGGAAGACAACTCTGGGCTTCTTAACATGGTGTTTTCTCTTTTGGGCTCTGGTGTGCAAGCCATGACTCTTTGCCATCTTGAGGGCTTTAGGCTTTATCTGCTTTTTTCTCTGTGGCACTGCAGTAGAAGCTCCTTTAGGCTTTTTCTTGGGCTTCCACTCCTTGGACGTTTTCCCCTTAGGTTCCTGTAGGGACTCTGCTTTCTTAGGTTCTGGTTTCTTCCCAAGGGCTCTAACCTCTTGGAGCTCTTCATTATTTTGTTTCACTTTTTTGCAGACACTGTTGCCCCTGACAGGGAGAGGAACAGCTGTCAGCAGAGTGACACTAAGGGGGTTCTTTTAACCTAGGCCTGAGGCAGTTGCTATGTAGCTGGTTTTTGGAGCCTATTAGAGCTAGAGCTAGACTGAAAAGAACTGTTTCTAACACCTGGGACAGGGGTAGATGTAAGATTAGTTTTGGTAGAATTAGTGTGAGACCTTGGGAAGTCAGGAGGCATGGCCAGTATTTGAGGAGCCTAAGGGTATAGATGTTGTTGGCACCTGCCATTACTCTAGGCTTCTGTCTCAGCCAAGAGGAAAGACTGTCCCATGTTCCTTTTAAATTACAGTCTGAGAAATCATGGGGTTCTGAGGAGGCTCTCCAGTACCCTCACCTGTCCTGGGTAGAAGGCAGGATGAGGGCAAGACGCCTCTCACATTGAGGGTTGGGGTGTGCTTAAAAAACAAAACAAAACCCTATGGTGGTCTGTGACCCTGATTCTTCTGGTTCTGGGCTTTCTAGTTGCCTGTATCTGGGAGACCACATGAGAGAAAGAACTTTAGGAAGGAATTAACAGCTTTCATACCAGAAAAGAGATTTTCCTCAGGTGTTTGTATATGTACCAGATTGAGCCCAGCAGAGCCCTATGCTAGCTCATCCTGGCTGATGACAGTGATGGCCACTAGGCGCCTGTTGTTGAGATCTGCTAAGTAGGAGGTAATGAAGCAGCAATAGTTTGTAGGGCAGTCTTTGGAGATAGACTTGCTAGACTCAGATCATTTGGGTGAGATAAGCCATTTAACCTCCTAGAGCCTGGGGTCTCCATCGTAAAACTGGGGCACCGTCATGTGCTTAGGATTGTTGTGGAGAAAGAAGGAAGTGGGGGTACATATGGAACATGTCAAGCAGAGTACTGGCACTTAGCAGGTACTTAGAAAAATGCTTCCCAAATTCTAGGGTGACCCACAAGTAATCAGATACCAAGCAAGATACATGTATCATCAGGTTCAGAGGGCAGCCTCTGAGTCTCTGGTTAGGCTGCCAGGCCCAAGAGGAAGAGAGAGCCTCCCCACATACATTCTCAGCACCACAGTTGATAGGAGGGCCCTTAACTGGATGATCATGGTCACAGGTAAAACCACGGCTTTGATCTCAGGAGGGAACGACTTCAAACAGGCACTCTGCCAATTATCTGTTCAGATGGCCTAGCCAAATCACTTCATCTCTTGCTTTTCAGTCCCTATCAGTGAGAGAGCTTGCATAAGCACCCGCTGCACAGAACCCTTATGTAAGGTAGGCCGCTGTATCCAGTCCCTCTCCACAGTGCCTATTCCTAGGAAAGACAACTGCTGGGTTCGTTTAGTGCGTGTATGAGGAGGGGGTGTCGGCAGGGCTCACCCAGAAGAGATTTGAGGGCTCTTTGGAATTCTGATAATTGAATTCCAGCACCTTCTGGCCAGGCTATGCAGTTCTTGGATCCGACTGTTTGAGCTCTTGAGTAGCTTCAAGAGGGACAAGTTTTTTAATACCTGCCAGGGTCAAGAAACCAGAAAGTTAGAGGCTCCAGCCCTCCCAGGACAGCCCTTCATGCCCTGCCTGTGGCTTGGCTCAGCTCAGAACTGAGTCTGCTGGCTCCTGTGGTCACTGGCTCCAGTCCCTGGGGACAGCCTTTCAGGGGGGAGTTAGGCTCCCCTAAGCCGCGGCTAAAATGGAACATCTCACCATTCTAAGTCGGCTCCACTCAATTAGTTTGCTGACAGGCTGATGCTTCTTGTCCTGCAGTTTCTCATCTTGCATCTGAGGAGAGAGAGGGAGAGGGAGAGATTGAGCGCTAGAGTAGGAGGATTCTCCTTGCACTCCTGTGTTGTGCCTCTCCCATTTGGCCGAGTATGGTTTGACCCGTTCTCGACTGGGAGTCTTGTCAGTTTGGTTTTGAAACAGAACTGAGACCATTTTAACTCTGCTAGCCTCCTTTTACCCTTCACCTTTCCCGTTTCCGCAAGGCTGGAACCCTGTCTTTGATGTGGCTGGATTCTCTGGTGAGATCCCTTCTATGGGGCTTGCCTGGCCTCCAGGACAGAGTCTGACCTTATAAGCCACTCTATTCTTGGGCCTCTTCTTTGTAGATGGACACATGCTGGGGCTATAGGAGCAAGGAGGAACCCAAAGCTGCCTGCACCCTGCCCCTCTCCTTCAGCCAGCACTTGGGCTGAGCAACATATGATGATGCTGGAGCTGCCAGGTAGGGGAGCTGTGACATCACTGAAGTATGTGATAGCATCAGGGCTTTGTCTCCGGGGTTGAAAGGTGGAGGGTCAAAAGGCTACTCCCATTTGTGTAAAAACACACAGTAGGAGACAGGCAGCAGGGTACATGATCACAACCTCCCTATGAGGTAAGAAGATGGACCCCTCACAGAGATATGCCTCCCTCTGCCTCCAAGTAATGGGATTGAAGCCCACCAGCAAGCCCGGCTTCCATTACTTTCTTAAGGCCAGTCATTTTCTTTTGCAAAGGGCCTCTACAATGGGACTTTTCAGTTATAGTTGTAACTGCCTGCCTTGGTTCTATATAAAGCAGCCACAGATAGTATGTAAGTGAGTGGACATGGTTTTATTGCAAGAAGACTATAAATACAGCTGATGAGCTGAATTTTGCCCATGCCAACTGGGGACAAATCAATAAAACAATACATCTTAACCTAGTTTGTCATGCTTACCTCTTCTGTGAAATACTCCTACTGCAGTTAATTTCGGCTCACCAGTTGGTGTCACTGGACCCAGAGTAGAGAAAAAAATACTCAGGAGCCTTTGATGCCTTTGAATCTCTGATGTCTTTCTGCATCCTATCTACTGCTCTGCAGCTCTATAGGGTAAAGACTGCCAGGAAGACATACAAATGATGGCTTTCAAGGTGAGAAAGAGATACATCTTTACCTTGTGGGTGCTCAGTATCATTCGTGTAATTATAAGTTTAGTCTTTTAGCCTTTGATGGTGGCTGAACATTAGAACCAGCCTGCAGAGCTTCTTAAAATGGTAGAGTAGACCATCCTGGACCTCTGAGTCAGACTTAGCATGGTGTCACTTACAACAGACAGAGTTAAGATCAACAGGGGGGAGGGGTAAGAAGGGTAAAGGAAGGGGTCTGCTATATTAAAAAGTGTGGCTGTGCCAGCCTGGAACCCAGCACTTGGGAGCCTGGGGTAGGAGGATCAAGACTGGCCTAACTCCAAAGAGGGACCTTATCTCTAAGATAAAACAAGAACCAGGCTAGAGAGATGGCTCATTGGTTGAAAGCACATGACAGTTCCCAGCACCTATGTCAAGCAGCTCACAGCCACCTGTAGCTTCAGTTCCACGGGCTTCCAGCAACCTCTGATTCCAGAGGTACCTACACTCAGGTGTGCACACACACAAACAACTTTTCCTCGAAGGCAGAAATCTGGTTTGGGAAATAGTTATCAGAGATAAGATTTGAGCAGAGCCCTGAAGGAAATGGAAGCTGTAGTATCAGAACATGAGATTGAGGAGTTTTAGTGAGCTACGGACAGATGGAGGAACCTGAAGGAGATGGTCTGTCTAAAGTCCTGGTGTGTAGTTGGCTACATCAGAATAATCCAAAGAGCTTGTAAGAAATAGCTCCTCAGGTACTGTTCCACTCCCTGGCCCGTCTGATACCTGATCAAGTTCAGAGTCACTCCATACTAGATTTCTTAACTGTCCTGTATCCATAATATGAAGATATGTGGGGGCATTAAGCTGCCTCAGGGAAGATAACGGGGTAATTGGGAAGGAAGATAGCAAGGACAATCCCTCTTCTGTGGGCCTTGGCCTCTGCCTGCCCAGGTACCCTGCTCCAGCTAGTGCCACTGCAGTGCTTACCAAGTGGTTGTGCTGGGCTGCAGATGTTTGAGGTCTTGGTGCTCGCGAGTTCCATCAGAACCTCTTAAAATTCTTAGCTCCAGGGTCTAGGTTGGGCTATGGGCTGGGCACCAAGGACAGCAACACCAAAGGAATAGCCTGTCCCCTTTCTGCCTCCTTTCAAGCCCATAGGCCAAGGGGAAAGATACCTCTAGAATGTGGGCTCCCAAAGGGCAGGGATTTTTGTCTGTTTCAATCATTGATAAATCCCCCAGGACCTAGAGCTGTGTCTGGTAAGATCATAGGTCATAATCAGATTAAGAACAGTAAAAAAAAAAAAAAAAAAAAAAAAAAAAATCAAAATATATAGCATTATCTGTGACAAGGGTAAAAGAGGACCGCAGCCCAATCTGAGGGGACTAGGGATTGGCGAGGCAAAGGATATGAGGTGGCATGGCCTTCTCACAAGAGGGGATTTACAGCGTGTAGGAATGCAGTCGAGTGCTAGGCCAAGCAGAGCAGGGTGGACCTGGGAAAGTGAGCACGACTTAAGGCTGTGTGCTTAGGGTCCAGGCTGAGAGCCTTGGAGTCAGTTCTGAGAGGACCAGGAAGGCTCAGCTGTGGAGACATGGTGGCTAGATCCTGTACTGAGCCCAGGCTGACTGCCTTTGTCATTCTGGTCTAGTTCGTGCATCTTTCAATATGCTTGTGAGATTTTTAGCCTTCAAAGGAGTCTCAGGTTTATATCAAAACGAAGTAGCTGGACATGGTGGTGGTGGTGCATACCTTTAATCCCAGCACTTGGGAGACAGAGAGCCAGATGTCTGTAAGTTCAAGGACATCCTGGTCTACATAGTGAGTTACAGGCCAGCTAGTGCTACCTACCCAGACCCTGTCTCAAAAAGAAAAAAAGTATGTACAGAAATTTTCCATAACGCTTCTACCTTGGGGAGTAGTCCCCTCCCCACTCCACCGATATTACCAGTTAGTTTCTGACAGACATACGGTGACACATTATCAGCCAGAGGCCATCCTTTATGTCAGGGTTCCCGTTGCCATTGTCCACTGTATGGGTTTGGATAAATGTCTGATGGCGTGTCTTTGATAGTGCATTACACAGAACTGTGTCATTGCCCTAAGAATCCCTGTGCTATACTTTATTCATGCCTCCTCCTCCACCACGCCCTGGCAAACACTGACCTCTCTGTTGTCTCTGTAGCTTCGCCTTCCAGTATGTCCTGTGATCAGATTTTAAAAATTAAGTATCTAGCTGTTTTGGATTGGCTTTGCTCTTTAGTAGTAACATTTATACATATTCCCTGTCTTTCCATGTCTTGACCGATCACCTGTTTTGTTTTGTTTTGTTTTGTTTTGTTTTGTTTTGTTTTGTTTTGTTTTGTTGAGGTAGGGTTTCCCTGTGTGACAGCCTTGGCTGTCCTGGACTCACTTGTAGACCAGGCTGGCCTTGAACTCACAGAGAGTGCTGGGATTAAAGGGACACAATACCACCACACCCGGCCTGATCACCTCCTTTTAGCGCTAAATAATACTGTTTTCTGTAAGCATCACAGTTTATTTATCCTTCACCTACTAAAGAACATCTTTGGTGACTTCCGGTTTGGGCAATTGTGAATAAAGCTGCTGTGAACACCTGTGCTCGGGCGTTTATGCAGACATATGCTTTCTGCTTCTTTGGGTAAATACCAGAGGCTGCAGCTGCTGATCATCTGCTTGTACCTAGGACACCCTTTCCCAGTGTTTGTGTTTTGTTTTTTTAACACAGGGTCTTGCTACATAGCCCAGCCTGGCCTAGAACTCACTATATAGTGCAGACTGGTCTCAAACTTGCAATCCCCTGCTGTCACTCCTTATCTACTTCCCCACCTTCTGAAGTTAAGAGTCTCCTGAACAGCTCATACTCAAGAGACCAGATTGTTTCATAACAGTGGTCCATGAGCAGTTTTCCATATTTTATCTTGATTGCTCTTTCCATTTCTCTTTCCAAGGGAAAATGCTTTCATGGGGGAGAGAGACTTACCCAATAACACAGGTGGTAAGCCTTGAATAATAAATACAAGAAAACTTTTAAAAGTAGGTACAGTTTACCATCTTTAATTTTTATTTTTTTCTTCACAATTTATTCTCAATTTACCATCTTAATTCTTTTCTTTCTTTTTCTGTTTTTCATTTTGTTTTGTTTGTTTCCAAGACAGAGTTTCTCTGTGTAGCCCTGGCTGTCCTGGAACTCACTCTGTAGACCAGGCTGCCCTCCCCAACTCATAGAGATCCACCTGGCTCTGCCTCCCAAGTGCTGGGATCAAAAGTGTGCACCACCACCACCGGGCTTTTTTTTTTTTTTTTTTTTTAATTTTTATTATTCTTTGAAGGTTTCATACACACACACTGTGTGTCTTAGAAATATCTACTCCCATTTCCTCCCTCTCAGTTCCCCCTGGATCCTGTCCCAAACACATCTTCCAATTGAAACACCCTCTGTTATTGTAACACTGAGTCCAGTTAGTTCTGCCTCTGTGCTCGTGGGTACAGAGTCATCTAAAGCCTGGACTGGCAGCTGCCTCTGGGTTGACTGAAAACAGGCCCCTAGGCTTGTATTTTTCCTTGTTTAGTCTCCAGTGAATGAGCTGTTTGGCAAAGATTAGGAGGTGTAGCCTTTTTGGAGGCCTTGTGTCACTGAGAGTGGGATCTGAGGTCTCAAAAGCCCACACCAGGCTTGGTGTGTCTCTGCTGCTGCCTGTGGATGAGGATGTAAAGCCCTCAGCTACTGCTCTAGTGCCGTGCCTGACTGCTTCCCACCATGCCGCCTCGCTGAAACTGTAAGCAAGTAACTGTAATTGCAACTCCAGTTAACTGTTTTCTTTTATGAGAGTTGTGCTGGTCATGGTATCTGAGACCACCCCCAAAGAAAAGAAACTCTTCCTCCTGTGTTTATGCCCTACAGTAGTTGTGTGGTTTGTCTTTCCAATGTTTTGGGGGTTTTTTGCAATTAAAATATAATTACATCTTTTTTGCCCCCTACTTTGCTCCCTCTCAAACTCATGGCCTCTTTTAAAACTGTTATCGTTACATACAATATATATAAGAATACGCCACTTGCCAGCATATGATTTCAGAGCTGACCAGTTGGTACTGGATAAACAACTTAGGAGGCTCGTTCCTAGGGAAGGCTATTTCTTCCACTGTCAGCATTGCTTCGTTCGTTGAACATGAGGAGGGCCTCATGAGATTTGCCCTTTCCGTGTTAGGATGCCGTTTGATGTTGTGATTCTTCAGCTCTTGCTTAGGCAGCCGTGCTGTTGCAGTGTCATGGGTAAAGCTCGCTGTCGTCTCTAGGAAACACAACCCCACAGCAGATTTCCTGGA